TTATTCTACCAATTTTTATGTATTCCTACCTTCCTCGGGATTTTCGCTCTCAATTTGTTTCGTGTCAATGTTCAAGATGGAGCTATCAGAGGTCAGCGATCGAAACACCATGTTACACCTCTGTTTGTCAAAAGGAAAGAACTGTACGTCGAGGGTGCAGGTACTCTTGAAAGTTGCAGGGGACAGCCACGTATTATTTCCGTCGCTCTTCAGTAGCACCCAACTTCGGAATTTTTCCAAGTGGCCTGCTTGAACAACCTCATCATCGGCACTAAAAGTAAATAGAAAAGGATAATTAAATTGCATGGGCGGTCTGGGTATCAGCACTGCGAGATAAATACAGAGACGAAAATGTGGCGTGTTCTATTGAAGATCCACGAATCTCCCTAATTGGCTATCCATTGGTGTTCATTCGCTAAGAGATTTAGACACAGTCACGTACGCGTTGCTCTTGAAAGGGAAATTATCTTCGATTTGTGACTGTAAAATACACAATACTTTAGGTTTTGCAGTGGATCCTTCTGCTAAATTATTTACACGTCTTGCCCGCTTTTACATTCGCTGATGGAAAACGTAGATTTCTAGTCTAATTGCTAATTGAACATTTTAGTTTGGGACCGCTGTGTATTTTTTTACAAGTCGTGCTGTAGTTTCAAGGAACGTTAGTGGAATCATTGTAAGAATGAAATTTAGCCAATATAAATGAAGTTGTCTCGTGTTGAAGTTTTTCCACATTGAAGTCAGACTTGTCTATCGTTCGAGCATGATTTCGTAAAAAGGGTTCAGCTTCTTCTCATCAGCTGAAATGTCTGCTAAAGCACACTGACTTACTTGTTTTCCAGCACTATATCTGGAACCCATATTTCATTTGGATCCACAAGAATCTTTTGTATTCCGTCATAATCAGCAGGATTCCACCGGAGGTACGGGTTATTCCATTTCTTTAAAACAGTAGAAAAAAGAAACGTATAAGTCCGTTTTTTATTTTATGTTCAGCATCTATTTTGTCCTCCTAAAAGATGTCACGTTTTAAACTATGCAATTGCAAGTTCAGTTTCTCTTTGTGGGTTAGCTTATCAGTTCTTACCTGCGTGATGATCGTTTCCGTGGTAATAACTTGATCTTTGTTGTTCTGAGAAATAAGCAAAATTTTCCTGTTAACTCTGCGGCAGCAGTAACATTTCAAGTCAGCAATGGAAATTGGCTTTCGAATCAGATGAAAAATGATTCATAAAGATGTACAGGAATGCCGAGAGAATGCGAGTAAAACCTCAGGCACTTGCGCATGCAGACTCTTGACTCGATTCGTCTTGGTATAATTGCACCACACCTTACGACTACTCCGTTAGAATTTTTGACACTATGGAAACGTTCTGTCCGTCAGTTTTCACGTTTTAAAACACTCCTAAATATAACAACTATTTTAGCACGAATCCAATTTCGGGGTTCGAAGCTGGACATTTAAACGGGTTCTACTTTATATGAGATTCTATCACCTACTGAGATGGAGACTAAAAAGCTTGTGACATTTTGGGCCGATGATTTAAATGAATCAAAAGTAAAACCTGGCTCAAAGAACTGCGGGTGAGTTATTTTCTATCGATGTTCAAAACTACCTCTAGAACCTAAAACTAAAGAAACCTCAGAGAATGACACTAAAGAGGTAGTAGAAACCAAATGATTGGGTCTTAGGTGGATTGTAATACAAACAAAGAACTCGAACCACCCTGGAATTAGCTCCCTTAAAGTTCAATCGATCTGTAAATGAGGACTCGAAACACCGTGAAAGCAAAGTCTCGTAATCAGCACTCGCTGAATAACTACACGCGTTGAAACAGAGCGGTTTGACACTTCTGGGAAACTCCAAGATGTTTTAAGTTGCACATGATCTTCATTTTCGTTTTCAAATTGACCAAATCATCGTCAAGAAATGTGACTTTGAAACTGAGGACCATTTCACACTCTCACTTTGGGTACTTTTAATTAAGACCTTGGCGAGTTTAAGTTTCGCTTACGTGATGTCTCACATTACGAACGTTTAGATCCATGCATTTCTTATCCTGGAGCTCCGTTGTAAAAACAGGCGCAAACACTTACAGAATAACTTAACGTGAACTGACAAAAGAGCAGAAGAGTGCACCACATCAAAATTAACCGAATATTGCTGTTTTCAACTGTATAGTTTAGTCTGGTAAAATACCATAACCATACGTTAAATTAATAGTAAATGGTCCATCGTTTGCTTTGAGGGACGAAGTAACAGCAAGACACTGAGATCTCTTCGTAACAGCTATAGCTAAGCTGGAGTGCATTTCTTTGAACTGATGGGGATCAGGATTGACCATTGAAGTTTACTTGCACCATGGCCCATCAAAAGAACGGAAGATTCCGCTCTGATAAGGATTCATCAGTTTCTTTAATGCACCATGATCAGAGTGATCTTAGATCATAAATCCTGATCCAGATCTTCTTAAAGGAGCATACTTTTCTAAGATGTTGGGATATGACGTTGACTTACAACTTCAGTAAGGGCCTTGAGCTCCACATCAAAGAAGACATTCACGACATCTGATGGCTGTAACACCGGACGAACCATTTTGAAAGAGAATCGAAAGAGATCATTCCTCAGGCGGAACTCAGCTGACTGTAGTATAAGTTGCTGCTGCTGTTGTCCTACTACGACTTCAAAACAAACAATACATTTGATTAGCGAAATAATAGCCCATTTCCGTGTTGACCTAAGCACCTCTATCAAAGCGAGGCTTGGAACACAACCATTCATATCAAAATGAATTTAATTTGCATATGAAAGGATGGGCACCAAGACTCGCTTTGAGAAAGAGGCTTTAGCTCGGAAATGACC